CGATTACAGGCACCCACCACCACGCCCAGCTAATTTTTGTATTTTTAGTAGAGACAGGGCTTCACCATATTGGCTAGGCTGGTCTTGAACTCCTGACCTCAAGTGATCCACCTGCTTTGACTTCCCAAAGTGCTGGGATTATAGGCGTGAGCCACCGTGCCTGGCCCGTCTGCCCTTTGTTCTGTGTGCTTTCCAGTCAGGGCCTTTTTGATGTCCTGCAGTAGAGACCGGTTCCAGGAGAGGAGGCTGTTATTTTAAGGGTGTAGAGGGCATTAAAAAGGGTAAAATATTGTAGCCAGGTGCAGTGGCTCCTGCCTGTAATTGTAGCACTTTGGGAGACCAAGGTTGGTGGATTGCTTGAGCCCAGGAATTTGAGACTTGCCTGGTTAACATAGGGAGACCTCATCTCTACAAAAAACAAAAATTATCTGGGCGTCGTGGTGTGCATCTGTAGTCTCAGCTCGTGGGGAGGCTGAAGCGGGAGGATGACTTAAGCCCAGGAGTTCAAGGCTGCAGTGAGCTGTGATGGCGCCACTGCACTTCAGCCTGAGCCATGGAGCAAGACGCTGTCTCTGAATTTTAAAAAAGTAGATGATTGCAGAAATCCAGAAAAATAGCCAGAGGGATTTTGTTGTTATTTTTCCTTAACATAAGGCACACCGAGCTATCACCCTGTAGGAAAGTCTCAGTGGCCTTCCTCTTTGCACTTGGCATGAAGTCCACTCTCCTTCCCAAGGCTCTCAGGCCCCCCTACCTGTCCCCAGCTACCTTCCCTTTGCCCTCTCTCTCTAGCCACAACACCTGCTTTCCCCTCTGCCCCCACAGTGCCCCAGCTCCCAAGAAATCATCCCCATGTGAGCCCCCCGCCCACCCACTCCGCTTCCCATCCAGGCCTCTTCTGATTGCAGAGCAGATTCCCTGCGTTCCACAAAGGGGTCCTGATCCAGACCCCCAGAGAGAGTTCTTGGATCTCGTACAAGAAAGAATTCAGGGCAAGTCCATAGGGTAAAGCGGAAGCGAGTTTATTAAGAAAGTAAAGGAATAAAAGAATTGCTGCTCCATCGACAGAGCAGCCCTGAGGGCTGCTGGTTGCTCATTTTTATAGTTAATTCTTTTTTTCTTTTTTGAGACCGAGTCTCACTCTGTTGCCCAGACTGGAGTGCAATGGTGCGATCTTGGCGCACTGCAACCTCTGCCTCCCAGGTTCAAGCGATACTCCTGCCTTAGCCTCCAGAGTAGCTGGGACTACAGGAGGGTGCCACCACACCTGGCTGATTTTTGTATTTTTAGTAGAGAAGGGATTTCACTGCATTAGCCAGGATGGTCTCGATCTCCTGACCTCATGATCCACCCGCCTTGGCCTCCCAAAGTGCTGGGATTACAGGTGTGAGCCACCGCAACCAGCCTATGGTTATTTCTTGATGATACGCTAGACAAGGGGTGGATTATTCATGCCTCCCCTTTTCAGACCATGTAGGGTAACATCCTGACGTTGCCATAGCATTTGTAAACTGTCATGGCGCTGGTGGGAGTGTAGCAGTGAGGATGACCAGAGGTCATTCTCGTGGCCATCTTGGTTTTGGTGGGTTTTGGCTGGCTTCTTTACTGTAACCTGTTTTATCAGCGTGGTCTTTATGACCTGTACCTTATGCTGACCTCCTATCTCGTCCTGTGACTTAGAATGCCTAACTGTCTGGGAATGCAGCCCACTAGGTTTCAACCATGTTTTACCCAGCTCTTCTTCAAGATGGAGTTGCTCTGGTTCACATGCTTCTGATGCTTGGAAGGGGTGTGGGTGCCAGCTGCCCCATGGGAGGGTTGAAGGCATGAAGCGGCACCTCCCTGGCCTGGCCTCCCTTCTTCCTCCTCCTTCACTCCTGGAGTTGGTGGCATGTCTTTCAATAAACATTTCTGGCCGGGCGCGGTGGCTCACGCCTGTAATCCCAGCACTTTGGGAGGCCAAGGCGGGTGGATCACAAGGTCAAGAGATCGAGACCATCCTGGTCAACATGGTGAAACCCCGTCTCTACTAAAAAAATACAAAAATTCAGCTGGGCATGGTGGCGTGTGCCTGTA